AAGTACTTTTTTGTTATATTTGTTTAATTTTATAGATCTAAATATTTTTTAGTTCAAAAAATGTTTAGGGACTTAACCGTTCAAAATGTGAATATTCATTGGGTTTTTTCGGACTTTTTCCATTATTTTATCACATTAACCGGTTTTATATGTCATAAGGATATATGTAACAGGTTTTAGAAAGTCCAAGAAGTTATTTAAAATGTTTTGAAATGTCCAATGACTTATTTGTTTCAAAAAATTGTCCAATGACTTAATCATTCCAAACATCAAAGTCCATTGGGTTTTTTATACTTTTCCCTTAAATTATATAAGATCATCTATTTTTTTGTATATTTTAAGAAGTATAACCGTTAGTTTATAACAAGGGTTAAATGCATGAAATAGTAACCTACTTTCACAAAAAAATTTATTATAGCATTCTACTTTTGTTTTTATTTATTACAGCAATGAACTTTCAAATTATTTTTTATTAAGACATTGTACTTTAAAAAATCTACTCATAATAGCAATGAGTAACCTGTTACCTTTTAAACCGGTTAACCCTTTGACTTTTTTGCTTGTGTGACTTTAATGAGGTTATGTGGATGACACATCATTTTGATGACTTAACTAAAATTAAAATAAAAACATATTTCAAATTATTATTAGTGATTTTCATTTTTCATTGCTATTATCTAAAAAAACATTTAATTTTTTTTTACTTTTTCTTATTAAGTTGCATTTAAATTAAATATTCTTAGAGCAAAATATTTATTAAATAAATATGCAACATTATTTTCGAGATATATTTTATTTGTAAAAAAGACAACTTTTCCTATTTTATGTTGTTCAAATAAATACATATCTTTTAAAGTTCTCTTTAAAATACTAACGAAATAAATTGTTATCTACAATTTTTTAATATTGTTATATTAATAAATACTTCAAAAAAATCTAATTAATTTAATATATTTATACGTCAAGTAAAAAAGTTCTAAACAAATATAATATATTCGTCAAGTAAAGATAATATTTTTTTGTAAAAAAAGAAAAAATCTTATTTTTCTTTTTTCAAAAAACACATTTTTTTAAAAAATATTAGCGAGATAAGTTGTGTTCTACTAGTTTTATTGATATTGGTATATTAATGAATAATTTAGATTTTTTTTAATTCATTTAATACATTTATTAAAAAAACATGTAAAATATCTAAATATTAAAATTAAAAATACAGTGTTTAATAAAAACTAGTAGATGCTATAATAAAATAATTTTGAAAGTACAATGATGTAGTAAGAAAGTCACATCACTATAGTATATGTGGACAGCCTATGTGGACAACGAGGTGGCATGGAAATCTAGTATAATGGGTAAATTTAAATCAAAAGGTTACCCAATGCTATAATGGGTAAATTTTTCAAAGTACAATGTCCTAATAAAAAATAATTTGAAAGTACATTGCTGTAATAAGAAAAACTGAAAGTACAATACTATAATAAAGAAATTTATGGAAGTAGATTGCTATTTTATGCATTTTGCCCTTAAATTATATAAGATCGTCTATTTTTTTGTATATTTTAAGAAGTATAACCGTTAGTTTATAACAAATACAAACTATAAATCAAAAGGTTAACCTTAGCCGTTAAATGAGACAAAAAGATGTTCCTTCAATTTGGTATCGTGGGTTCGGTGATATTGTCAATAATCAACTTTTTGTCCAAAAAATAAATCTAATAATTGTTAATTAACTTTTTGACCTAACATATTTGGTGTAGGGATTGTTTATCAAAACGCTTACTAGGTCATTTATCTTAAGGACTAAGGGGTCGTTTACTAAACACATACCTAGTAAGTGTTTACCGTGTAATTTTCCTTACCAGATGAACATGGCAAGGGTCAAAAATCTTACTCGGTAAGAGCAATGATATAGATGGAGAGTCTTACTCGGTAAGTGAGGATGATGACTCTTACCCAGGTAAGTGCTTATTGAGTAAATTGTTGCATGTGATATCACTTTGATATGCTACAATCTTACCTCATAAAATAAATTATAGTGTTAACTCCTAACATTAAACGATTACCGGGTAAACATTTAGGTAAACAGCTCCTAAGACTAAGAATCATGGTAACAACCGAAGTTCACACCCATTGAACGAGGATGTCTAGACGATGATGACCATTGCCAGTAAGTTAACCGATAAGCATTTTGATAAACGGACATTTAATATAATTATGTTATATATTTATTAATTATTATTAAGATACGAGTGACATTGCATCTACCCATAGTACGGGTCTATGTGAACTACATTATATCAACAATTTACTGATTCAGTACTTCACCCCTTAAACTTTTACCATACGCCACGCTTACCGTACACCCTTGATCGTGCTTAGTTTTCACTGGAACGACATGTCTAACTGAGTCGGCCCCACAAGTAATTAGCTGCAACAGAACCTGTGAAGCTGTCATCCTCCCATTACAACCATGCTCATCCTCCACCGACTTAACACCATTTCTCACCTTCGCCCTCTGATCTATGTATCTCGATCTCGATCCACTCACCACGTCCGAGCTCGAATTCGACGGCGGAGGAGACGGTATTTCTTCCCTACTTAACTCTACGGTCTGCGTCGCTGCGTCGGGGGCGAACTTCGTGCCGAGCTCTCTGTTCGACTCGCATTTGAGAACTAAATAGTCCTGTGGAATGTCGAATGAGCTCCATGATTGATTCCTTTTTACGACCATGGCCGCGGCGGCGGTGTTCGTCGAGCTACAATTGTCGCCGGTATGGCAGGTTTCCGGCAGATTTCGAGATGCATGTGTTTGGAGAAGCTGTGATCCTTTGACGACGTAATCGTGGCCGTTCGTCGGTTGAATCAAGTCCTCTTCCGAGGCGTCGTGCCATACGTATCCACTTTTGTAGCTCCTAATTTTGGTTCAGAAAATTTCGAAACAATTTATGAAACTAAGAGAAGTAAAATCAACAGAAAAACTGGATTTATCTACTCATCATCTTCTAATTTGTCAAATATGTTTGTACCGTTTGAAAGACCACGAATACATGTTCGCCATTCCTTTTCCTCGGTGATAATTCAAAGTGTTCATAACATCTGCAAAACAGGACGCAGTAAATACATCACTGAAAGCCAAATTACGGAGATTAACAGCAAGGATTTGTACTTGATAAAGAAGCGAACTACTAGGTTTTCACGAATCCTTTCAGAAATTTATCATTTTAATGTATGAAATTCGAAAATTCCAACAATTCCAGTTAAATTTGACCATAGAGATCTGGATTACCTCTGAGATAGAGACCATGAGGAGAAGAGAGAGTGACATCGACTAGATGAGGATGTTCAAGATGACCATTCCGAGATAGGTAGTACAGAACAGGAACTTTTCTGGCAGATGCCGGCTTCGTCTTTGAATTAGGTTCAATCCAATCCGGACTTGTATCAGGACAATTGTTGATGATCACACCTCGATTTACAGATTTATGATTGCGCGGCCAACTCTTCTTAGGGATCAATGGCTCCTCCCTCACTCTGGAACTTGACGCCATTGAAGAAAAAGTGAAGCGATATCCTATGTTTTATTATAAAGTGGCATTTAGTTCGTTATAAGGAGGATGAGAGTGTAATATAACCCACAGGTTTGTCCCGCCTTAGTTAACGAATTTAGAAAAGAAAAGAAAATTTCTTACAAGGAGGATGAGAGTGTAATATAACCCACAGGTTTGTCCCGCCTTAGTTAACGAATTTAGAAAAGAAAAGAAAATTTCTTACAAGGAGGATGAGAGTGTAATATAACCCACATGTCTGTCCCAACTCTATAGAGGAAAAACTTGTATCTTTATTGTAATTTTAAAATATATATAATGACATATATTGATACGGTTGCATCTTTCGTGAACCTTTTTTTTTTACCTTTTCATAGGTAAATAATACGGTGCCACTAAATTAGATCCATCCTTACATGGGGCTACAAACACAGGAAAAAAAGCAATTTTTTTATTTCTTTCAAAAAAAAATTATAATTGTTATTTTTATATATGAAATAAACAAATAAAAAAAATAACATAATCATCTCATGTCACATAAACCACAATGTTGTTTTACTTGTAGTTGTTATACATGTATTCAAAAAGAGGAGTTGTTAATATAAGATATATATGTTTGTTATAGTCGTAAATCAATGCATTGGTAATAAACAGCCTTATAATATTTTGGAATTATAACTTTTACTATGCATGTGGTTTGATTTATTTATCAACTTTATGTCATTTTTAGTATTCATTTATTTTAAAATACATCATTTAATAGTAACCTAAGTAGTAGATAATTAAACTATGATTGTTACCAATAATTTTCATCATACAACATATTTCATAGTATTATATTTCAATTCAGTAAGTTTGAAACCAATCTTTATAAACCAAATTTGACAACAATAATTATTTCAAACTCACGATTTCATCACTATAAATATTACATATAAACTTGTAATATAGTCCATTTAAAAATAGATTTTAAAAAATAAACGAGTAAATCAAAATATACAATTTTTTTAATATCCGTACAACACGGAAACCAAAAACACTAGTTTTTTTCTTGAGATTAAATATGTATATTCGTATCGAAAAAACAAATAAATGTGTACATATAAAAACTCCAAGTTATTAACTGTGTAGTTGTCCTCCAACTCGTACAATTTGCTGTTCATTTAAAACCCATATTCATTTACACCCTTGGAATCGTACAATTTATCTGACTCATACCCATACTCATTTGCATCAACATTCACCAAACTAACCACATGATTGGTTTGAGTTTGGTTTCAAAAATCAAAAGTATCAAGAGGTTTAATGTTCAAATTCAATGAGAAATAAAAATCCCTTTGTGGCTATGGAGATTCAAGTGCGATGACCTCGGGCTATCTGCAAAACAGATGGTTGTTCTGAAATTAGTCGACTCGCATAGCAGGTTGGATATCCAGGTTAATAAAAAAAAAACATTCACCAAACTTTTGGTTAAAGAATGCTAATTACCGTTATATATATTTCTTTTTTTCAAAATAAATATTCATAATTAAACCTTGATTTTAAAAAACTATGTAATTATATTTATTAATTAAGAGACTGTGCTTACTTGAGTAAGCGTTTACCAAGTTATATTACTTTACCGGATGAACATGGTAAGGACCAAAAATCTTACCCGGTAAGAACGAGGCAGAGACCGAGAGTCTTACCCAGTAAATGATGGTAATGACTCTTACCACAGTCAACTCCTATCGGGTAAATTGTTGCATAGAAAACCGTTTTTTGTTGACTAAAATCTTATCCGATAAGTAAATAATAGTATTCAATTTTACCGATAAGTGTTTACCGATAAATGTTTAATAAACGGTCTCTAATTTTTGAGGTATTGAAATATGAGATTCTGAAATTGGTTATTAAATACATATATAATTGGTGTCACAAGACAATAATAATAAGAATAAAAAAATGAGACAAAATGCATTATTTTAGAAGGAACAAGTGAATGTGGGCACGCAGAAGGATCACTTGTTTCCTGTGATTTTGAAAACCCAACATTTGTGAATGGATCATGTGAATCCCTAATTCCCTATGCAATGCCACACAATCTTTTACTTCGTGTAGCTCTACATGTCATTTTCTAATAGACGAATTAATTAAAGCAGTTATTTCTGATTTTGAACTTATCTATTAGCCATTTTTTTAACCGATATTATCATCTTCATTATTTTGATTTTAGAGAAATACATGAAACAGTTTTATTAAAATTTCATTAAATATTATATGAAACAATTTCATAACCATATATGAAACAAATTCATCAAAAAAAGTATTATATGAAACAATTTCACATGATTAAACAATTTCATGAAAAAATTTCATAACCTGGATATCCAACACGGTATGCGAGCCGGCTAATCCCAGGACGACCACCTACTTTGCGGGTAGCTCGGAGTCACCGCATTTGAACCTCCGTGGCCACAAATGGGTTTTTATTCCTCCTTGGATTTGAACATGAGGCCTCCAGATATTCTTGACCTTTGGAGCTCAATCTCAAACCAATCAAACAAGTTAACGTTTTCATTGTTATCACCAAAAACATTGATCTCACATACGTCTAACATTGACCAACGTCTTCCAAAAGAGGGTCAATGGATACTCATAAATTTCTCAAAAATAGAAAAATAGTTTATACTATATTTCATCTTCTATAAATATATGTCATGTTTACACCCAAAAAAAATGTTTAACCCCACAAAGAATTGCGTAAGCTCAACCATAAGGATGATGTCTGATTGGTTTGAGCTTGACTCCAAAGATCAAAAGTACCAGGAGGTTCCAGGTTCAAATCCAAGGAGGAATAAAAATCCCCTTGTGGCAACGAATGTTCAAATGCGGTGACTCCGGGATTTCTGCAAAGCAGGTGGTCGCCCTGGGATTAATCGGCTCGCATAGAAACATAAAACATCAGTCTAGCAGTATAACGTTCATTGGTCATCGTCGTCGGAAAAAAAAGAGAGGCTACAGTAACATGTCGAAACCTAGATTTAAATTTTAATAGTTAATAATGACAAAACATAATACTTCGACCTTTATCACAGAAATTCCTGAATCCGGAACTGCATGTAAACCAAACATGAAATTACAAAATAAACATTAATCAGTAGTTTTCAGATTAAGTACATCCACATAGATGCTGCTCCATAATGAATTTAATGAAAACGATATTGGATAAATAAAACAAATATCATTTGGTTGCATTGATACATTTTGTCCATTTTAAAGATCCCAAATGGGAGCATGGGACAAGTTTTTGTTTTTGTTCATAAAATGTGTGGATGTGCATAAATCATGAAACGTCTTGATCTCAGTAGTGCTTTTCTTCATAACATTCTATTTTAAATTCCGTATCGTCATCATTTCACATCGAACCTTATTAAGATGAGGAGATGGTTTACGCAACCACCGTTATCAATAATCAAGTTACATACTTTTTTTCTTGATCGAGCAGTAAGATCCTTTCGTCTGATCTTCTTCTTTTGGTGTTAGCAGCACTCAGTGAAGCACGATGTTGATCTTTCCGCCCGTGTTTTCTTTTGAATACTCTAAGAGCATCCACAATTGTGGAACCTTTAAGAACCTCATTTGCCATAGTTTTTCATGTCACATCATTGCCACTTCCACAAAATTTAAGAACTTCAACAAAACTCTACAATGGAGGTTCTTACATCCAGTTTTCTAATTTATAAAAAGTAATTTTATTTATAGATTACTGTATAAATTTAATAAATATACACATATATATTATAGAAAATTATAGAATATTCAGATATAATTTATTAATTTTCACTTTTTTATATTTATTTTAATTTGTTAATTTATATATTTAGATAACATATTTGAAAAACAATTAAAACATAAATATAATTTTATACTACAATTAAAAAAATTGCAAAATTACACAAAGTGAATCCAACCCTATTTGCGTCGAATGTGCGGGGAATTGATAAGTCTTCGATTGGTGACGGCAATATAAACTCTTCATCATTTCTTGAGACATTAACACTAATATTTCGTTGGAAGACATATAAGTATTTGAAAAATAATCTAATCGTAATAATATAACGAGATAATTAAAAGTTAAATTTATTAATACAAAAACTTGGATAAAAATTTACAAGAAGCAAAAAATAAAACAAAATAAAAAAAATTTATTTTATGGTAATTAATTTATATTCTTTTATCAGTTTTATTATATTTGTTTATATATTTATAAAAATAAAATAAAATGGTTAAGAAATAATAAAAATGATAAATAAAAAATAATGAAAAAGAACATATGCAAGAACCCGAGTTTATATTTAAAGATCTGATTCTAATATGAACATGTGACTAGACAAAATCTTCTATTTTTCACAATGAAATGAAGATTCATGTAATACCCCAAAAGAAACCTCGATAAAAATCTGTGTTATGGATGATAAGAATGTTGGTGATTTGTATCATTAATATCATATAAGTGTAATGAGATTAATTTGTTGACCAATGTAATCATGATAAATATCAAACAAGTAAAGAAGGTGTGTAGTGCACACTTGTTTGAATTTATTTTGATTTAGGGGCGAAGCCCTAAACGATGGGGGTCTGGGGGCAGCCCCCCCGGTGGCGGGGTCCAAGGGGCAGAGCCCCTGGCTGGGGTCAAGCTTTATGAAAAATGCTTCAAAAATCCGAATTTGAAATTTTAAACCCGATTTTGACTCTGTTTTGAAACCTGGTTTTTTAATTGTCGTATGGCAGTTTTTCGACTGTTTGAGGGAAAAGCTACGATTTGGTCATTTGATTTTGGGTACACAGATTTCATAACACGAAAAACTCTTTGTTCGGGAAAACCACTGAATTTCTATTGTACCATCGAAATACTTCAATCTGAAAGTGATACACGACTTTTAGTGGAATCCAAAGAATCGAAAACCAGAATTTTTAACAAAGAAGGCTTGGGTTATTTTAGGTAATGATAAAAAAAAATA